CCACAAAATGGCACCAGGAGTTAAGGGAAAAGTCATTATTGACCTTGGCACCTTCTCACCTATTATATTTTTATTAGTATCACTATAATGTGCTTCAGAAAAGGATGGCTATCTTTGGGGTAGAACTTGAAAGATGGGATCATCAGCGGAACCAAAACCTCTGAGCCTCCCCAGAGCAGATGAACAGTGGTGATGCCAGAATGCCTTCAATCTTCCTGTTCATTTGGAGCTTTGGGAACAGACATTTTGGGCTGGTGTCCCTGTCTACCGTGCTATCTTCAGTGCCAGAGGGTGAAACAAAGTATATTTAAACATATGGAAACATACCCTTTTCAATGAGGGGCAGCAGAAAAAGGACCATCCATTTTAATGACTATGACAGTGATTCTGTATATGATACCGCCAGATACCAACATTTCCCAGAAAGTCAGTGCAGTTTGTGATAGCTTAAAGAAAAAGCTTTGCATGTGTGCTCCTTCATTCATACAGTTCATGGGTGAAATTTGCCCATAGTATAAAAAAAAATGGCAGTCTCCAAACACCAGATAAAGGACTGGGCAGAACTAGGGAGGGGTGTGGCCCACTTTATTTTTCTTCAAGCAGCAGCAGATTGAAATGTAAGTGCACCAAATCCATCAGCTACCTTTCTTATTCAAGCACAGGAAACACTAAAATGATCCTTTGATCCTTATCTGCTTCCTTTTAACTATCCAATCTTCAGGTGCTTATAGGCACCAGCTCTGCCTGTTTCCCCCCCCCTTCTCTTTTTCTCCCCCCCCCCCACCTTCTCCCCTATTTATTTTGGGTCTGCCCATCCTAAACTCATAACTTTGGTCACCTGAAGAAGTGGGTTGTGCCCACGAAAGCTCATGATACCATCTCCATGTTTTGTTAATCTATACAATGCTACCAGACCTTTTGTTGTTTTTTAAGTTTATCCTGTACAGACTAACTTGGTTACCCCCTGAAGCTACTTAAATGAATGTTTCTCAGAAGCTGGGAATGGGCGACGGGGGATGGATCACTTGATTCCCTGTTCTCTTCATTCCCGCTGGGGCATCTGGCATTGGTCACTGTTGGAAGACAGGATACTGGGCTAAATGGACCCTTGGTCTGACCCAGTGTGGCCATTCTTATGTTCTCATAACAAAAGTTACTGAAAGACATTGGCTGCGGTGTATAGTATTGATCCAATCCGGACCAGCTCTGGTTACATTCCAAGGTTTGGGATTCCCTGGTTAAAGAAGCAGTAGAATTCAGAGAGTACTTAGAATATTTTAACAATACGTTGGCAGCTCAGGATGGATCATGGGGCCCCCAATTGGTTATGTCATGATGCACAAACCACGACACCATGTTTTGTCATGTAATATTTCATCCTAACAACATGGAGTCTCCCATGTTACCTATGTTGTTTCTTGCTTGGAGCTAATAACACTTTTAAAAATGGGAAAGGGAGAGGACGTTCTCGCTTTTGTGGGGTTTTTAACCTAAAGTTAAAGCATTTAAAAGGGATCTTGATTTGAAGTTACTATCACCTGTAGTACATATAAAAACATGGATTTAAATTAGGCTGATTTTCACAGTACAAAATGGCATGAACCTAGCAGGGCAGAAGCATCAGTGTAGTAGCACTCACTGTTGTTATGTCTAGACTATGGTGTTTTTCCAGGATACCAAAGGTATCCCAGAGGAACTCTGCCGTGTCCAGTGAACACATCTACTCTTCTGACATTTTTTGCGGAAGAGCAGACTCGCTCTTTTGGGATCCCTGTCTTCCTCCTCCCATGAGGAAGATGGGCTTTTCCAAAAGAGGAGGCGTCTACGAAATTTGGCCTGTCTACACGGTTTAGACGGGCCAAATTTCGGAAAAGCCTCTTAGGAAAATATAATGGGAAAAAGGTACCAAATTGAAGAGCACAATTTGCATACCTTTTTCCGATAGATCCCTGTAGTGTAGACATAACCTCACATAACAGCAGGAGAACAGAAGTGAATCTGGGTCTTTTACTTTAGAAAAAAGTCTTTACTGATTTGGCAACTGCTTCTGATGCTACAAAAGAGGACCTTACATCAGGAAGTCAGATGGGTGAATAGGAATATGAATTATGTTATAAACGAGGTGTATGGGGTGTGGTCAAAACATTTCCCTGCAGTCATCATTTTGTGAAACCACATGATTAGGAAGAGAAGATACCTTAGGATGTGTCTACACAGCACCCTTACCTTGAAATAAGCTACAAAGTTTGTGCGACGCAAATTGCGTAGCTTTTCTCTGGGTAATTTTGAAATAAAGTGCTATTCCAACAAATCCTTTAACCCCTGTGGAACGAGGATCACCAGAATAGTGCACCCGTTATTTTGAAATGTATTTCAATATAGCAGGCGCATTTAAAGATGCAGAATTACTGTTTTGGGATACTTCTAGTATCCCAAAATAGCCCCGCTTTCTAGACGTAGCCTTAGAGTCCCCTTCCCAAAATAAATCAACATAGAACTAGTTAATGATCTCTATTTCATGTGTTCTACACCTCTCTGACAGCACAAAAACAGCTGGAAAATTAGCTTCTCTGTCCAGCTGGCACTTTAATCAGTGTAAAGGAATCTGGAGCAGCATTACAGCTAGCATGTCTGGGTGTTCACAGCCTACTTTCCTAGTGTTGGTATATGGGGTGAATTGGGGGCATGGTAAGTAAAAGAGATGATAGGGGCACAATGCAGCTGGTGTAATTTTAAACACAGTAGGGTTACCCTAAGTTGCTCCTTCAGACCAATGTCTGCTGGCCTGAGGATTAGGGAAATGCAAAAGTAAGTTATAAATACCACCCCCCCAACCCCAATCCATACTGTGCTGGGTCAAAATAACCAGTGCCCAGGATCTGATCCTATAGCTCCAGCTTTTACTGGTACAGTATTTGAGAGAAAAACCCCTTACATATATTCACTTGCTTTTGTTTTGCAGAGCCTGCTTTTTTCACAAGGCAACAACCAAACCCATTTCTATGTCCAAATAGACCCTGGTGATCCCTAATAAATCAAAGTAAAAATGCGAAGCAGATGGCTGACCAGCATGTTCCTTAGGTTTTTGCACACAGCTGAAAGCAGATTTCTCAATGTTACTTTGGCTGACAGTTGATATATCCCCCTGCTTCCTCCCCCACCCTCTTGATGGATGTTAAGGCTCAGAAAAGGCTCCTTATTGACATGCCTTTGGGCTGTTGTCCTCTCTTCGGACACAAGCTATAGACTGAGTAGTGACAATTACAAGTCTTCTTACACCAGGCTGAGAAGTGTAACTCAGTCAGAAAGAGGGATTCAAGCTCAGTGCCCAGTTATGTCTCACCTTCTTTCTGGAGCCTGACAATAAGGGTGGCAAGACATGCTCACTGTATTCTTCCATATTTCTTTCTTCTTAATGAATCACCTAGACGGTCTGCTAAGATTACATGTCTAGTGTAAAACTACCTAGCTCAGCATGGAATATGAAAATCCAGTGGGGCTTTTTCTGCCAACTGTGTGACAAAGCCAATGGTGCTGGTGTTACAAAGACAGCTGATGCTGTTGTTGATGATCCGTGGAGCAGAACAGAATGCAGCGTTTCCTTCCTTTCTGGGTTCAGCGACACCGACAACCGTGGTTTTTGTCAACCAATGAAGCTGACAGATTCAGATGACTTGTGAGGAGCCAAAATGGGTAGGTAGAAGGCACCATTTAAAAAAAAATCATATTTGCAGCTTGCAGAACTATAGTCCAAAGGAGAATGTGAAGAATCATGCGTAGATTTGGAAGCACAAGGAAAGGTATGGGGAGGAGGATTATAAAACCCATACCAATTTTTTAACAAGTGCATCTTTGAAAGAACAAAATACTGTATAGTAACGAGACATCTGTAAACACACACACACACACACACAAGCTTGGAGTGTATATGTGCAATATAAAGTTTTCAGTATTCAGCATGATGCATGGGGATGATAACCTCCTTGACATCTAATCTAAGTTGCAGGACAAATTCCTATTCATCATGCTGTGTATACCCTTCTTGTGATACGAAGACTTAAAGAGTCTCACACAATTTGTAAGGTTTAATGTCAGTTTGAGGGGTGGATTAGCGAGATACCATAGGGTATGTCTACACTACCCTCCTAGTTCGAACTAGGAGGGTAGTGTAGACATACCCTATGGTATCTCGCTAATCCACCCCTCAAACTGACATTAAACCTTACAAATTGTGTGAGACTCTTTAAGTCTTCGTATCACAAGAAGGGTATACACAGCATGATGAATAGGAATTTGTCCTGCAACTTAGATTAGATGTCAAGGAGGTTATCATCCCCATGCATCATGCTGAATACTGAAAACTTTATATTGCACATATACACTCCAAGCTTGTGTGTGTGTGTGTGTGTGTTTACAGACACATTATTTTATTTTTGGAACTGTAAAATTTTGATGAAGATGTGTGGATGGGAGACATTTTAAATCCATAAAACTAGGAAGCATACACAATGAGTAAAGTACAGTACACAAGGCAGTTAGTGCATCCTCTCAGCCTTTCAAATGTGTTGTTAATACAATTTGAAATAAAGCCTCTCTTTTCACAGGCCCAAAGGTAGTGATGGGCTTTAGGAAAAAGCACTAGAAAATTGTGCTTCCTTTCTTGGTGGGTGTGTGGCACAATGTCAATTTCTCTTCCTGTCACATTGTGTCTCATAACATTCTGAGAGGCAGCAGAATGTCATGTGATCTACCTGTGTACTTTTTAACCTGTGAATGTGTCTCATGGTGCTAAGTGTATTTATAATTCATGTCCTGGGTATGGCTTGAGAGTTAAGAATGGATTGTGGACATACATCAGAGGTCCAAGGTTACAAGTTGAACTTTTTGTGGTTTCTGGGAAGAATATACAATCCATCTTCCATCTTTGGGAATGTGTTATTCCTGGGAGATTGGGGCAGGCATGATCTCTTGGGGTATGTCTACACTACCCCCCTAGTTCGAACTAGGGGGGTAGTGTAGACATACCCTTGGATAGCTTTTCTTTCCTGAAGAATATAGAAAAGTGAACATATTCCACTTTCTTTGAGTATGTTTACACTACCCCCCTAGTTCGAACTAGGGGGGTAGTGTAGACATACCCTTGGATAGCTTTTCTTTCCTGAAGAATATAGAAAAGTGAACATATTCCACTTTCTTTGAGTATGTTTACACTACCCCCCTAGTTCGAACTAGGGGGGTAGTGTAGACATACCCTTGGATAGCTTTTCTTTCCTGAAGAATATAGAAAAGTGAACATATTCCACTTTCTTTGAGTATGTTTACACTACCCCCCTAGTTCGAACTAGGGGGGTAGTGTAGACATACCCTTGGATAGCTTTTCTTTCCTGAAGAATATAGAAAAGTGAACATATTCCACTTTCTTTGAGTATGTTTACACTACCCCCCTAGTTCGAACTAGGGGGGTAGTGTAGACATACCCATGGATATTAGTCTCACCATTTAGATGAGACTAAACAGCACAGACTGCTGAAACATGGCCAGATAACTTCCTTTATGTCTTCAAGACACATCAGGTGAAAATAACTTTGACAGCTATTCAGGAATCAATTTTGCAGCCCTTACATTGAGCAACAATTATTTACATGAGTAATCACAGTAAAGTTGGACTGGTGGGAGTTAATGCTGTTCAATATAAGGATTGCCGATTCAGACCCGTCGTGAACAAGCATTTGCTGTGTTCACCTAATGCTTTGACGTGTTGAAGTCTATGGAAAGTTTTCCATGTACTTCAAAGAGATTTGGTTCAGGCCATTAATGAGTTAATTATTTTATTTGTCAATAATGGCTCCTAATGGCCACTGCAATTTAAGATAGCGATTGTGAAAACAATCCGGCATAGGTGCTTTTGCACCTTGTTTTGTATAGTGGTTAATTTTCCTTTTCTGCCAGGAACTTTGAACTGGTCTAGGTCAAAAAGATCCTAAAGTGATCCTAAAAGGTCCTAAAGATCCTAAATGATTTCTCAAGTGAACTAGTTCATAGTTCATCTGAGCATCTGAAAAGTTTAAATATTAAATTATCCAGGTTAATTTCCTTTCAATATGAAAAGCTGCTATTTTGAAGTTCACTGTGGAAGACTGATATATAATAGGATGATATTCTGAGATGATTTAGTGGTCTAGTTGTTGTGTGAGCATCATTCCAGATGACCGTGGATATTTTTGGCTTACAATGAAGGAACCTCATAGTAGTGTCACGGTGAAAGGTTAGTCTTAGGATAGTAAAATCCCGGGACATACCTTTATTAGAATCTGGACATGTCAAAGAAAGGGAGGATATTGACATATGCAATCTCACGGGGTACTTTAATCTGATGCACTCTGCCATACTCACACAGTATGCTAAGTTTTGCCATAATTTATATCAAATACTGCAAAAGTATCTCTTTTACAGGCAGGAGGACTCAAATGTAGATTATGACAATTTTTGGAACATTTTAAAATAATTATATTGCACTGCCTATGTCTGTTTAACCTCTGTTTTCCTCTCTGCCCCTTTACTACCATTATCCCTTGATTAGTAGTGATGATATTGCTCCATGCTAATACAAAAGGCAACATGGCCAGCACTGCATTTTTTTCTATAAAATATACATCATCCCCACCAATTCCAGGGACATGCCCAGAGTCACTTGCAGGTGGACACACTGATCTAGGCACAGTTATTCTCTTCTGTAGGACAAATATATCAATAGGAATCTTCTCTCTTTCGGACATTAAGATGGACTTTCTTATGTTCACCTTTCACCTCTGGTAGCTGCAAGCAAATCCTGAACTTAATATATGTGACCATCAGAAATGGCTATAACTCTCTCCTTACCTATTTACCACGTGCTCTTGCTGGGCTCAATTTACTTCCTTGATTTGGACCACATGGTTGTTAATTTGATGAAAATATGCAATTCACATCTTGCTTTGGTTTTCAATCCTAATCCTAGGCAGGGAGGGTGCAAAAAAGAAATGGCTGAAGAAAAATACAACTTCATGGGGGATATTACATAAAAGAGCTTAAGTGAGCTAAATCTTCAAAGACTTTGGCTTATAAGGGCCTCTACACAAGCTTTGTGATACAGCAAACTGGAAGGGACCTCTTCGTTCCCCGCCCTTTTCATTTTCATCTTCATTTTCATTGGCACCAAAGGACCAACCCCCTCGGTAAGAGAGAGGTGATATGCTTGGAACAATGGATAATGAATCATCGGATCCATGGTGAGATAAAGAACACTTTTGTCTCATATATTTTTGGTGATGGGAGAGAGGTATAGATAATATATTAGCTGTCACAGTTAGCCTATAGTTAGTCTCAACATGAGACCCTGATAAAAAAAAATCATTGTTAGCTTTTAACTTTGGAAATAATCTTTGCAAGATGAGTTTGGATTGTTCCATGTCTCTCTCTCTCCTCTACCTTTCCCCTCCCCAATTCTATTTTATTTCTTGTTAGAGTGCCCTTACAGCTTTTTCTTCAGACAGACAAACAAACAGACAGAATGACAGACAAGACACATAGACAAAGATTATTGTTATTCTATAAAAATGGACAAAAATCATAGATTCAGAAAGCCCTTCTGCATGATACTGTCAGAGAACCAGGAACTGTGCCTCCCGTCCACATTGCCTCCTGACCCCTCCTTCAATCACCACTTCCCCAAGACTCATGGATAGCAACAACAACAACAATAGTAAAGGTTTTAAGTGCAGTTCTCAAAGACTGAGCTGAAGGTCCAGGTCAGTGACTCCACTAGGTTCCTTAACTGCACGTTCCACACTAGAGCATAAAGTGCTGTGGCATTGTTTGTTTTTAAAACTCGAAACATCTCTCCTCTTTCCATGTTTTTTTCTTTTTACCTTGTGGCTCCTATGTTCTTGTAATGACACATAAGAAGGTGCTTAAAGGTTTTCTTAAAGGTAGCATTGCAGAGCGCATAGCAGGCAGGGTTGATGGTGCTGTTGATATAACAGAGCCAGTAACCAATAGTCCATACAGTGTTGGGGATGCAGGAGATGCAGAAGCTGTTGATGAGCACCATCACATTGTATGGTGTCCAAGTAATGATGAAGGCCAAGAGAATAGCCAAGATAGTCCTGGTCACTTTTTTTTCTCTTGAAGGAGGGGGTTTCTTTTTGGCCGGCTGCTTGGTCATCTTGACAATTTTACGTGCCACAGTGTTTTGCTTTTCATCCCCATTTTGGCCATTAGTACCTACAATCTCCACGGTGGTGTTGGTGGGAGCACAGCTGTCACCCTTTTGGGATTTAGTGATTATCCTGATGCACGTCAGCTTGGAATTCTCCCCTTTCACATGGGCGTGGGAGACAGAAGCCGTGGTGGCCTCTTTGGTAACTTCATCCTCCTTCACATTGGAAGCAACAACGCTGACCGAAGTGGAGTCATTAGAACTCTCCTTCTCTTCCCCTGGAACACAGTTCTCTGTCACAGCCTCTCCAGTGGCTTTACCATTCTGAATTTTGCTGTGCTCCAACCCATCCACGCTGGGTGGGATGTTGTTGTTGTTTGGTTTCACTATTTTACCTTGGACCAAACTGGGAGAAACTGGATCCTGGCTTTGTGCTGGTTCCTTTTTTCCTTTTTTTATCCTGCTCTTGCTGGCCCGAGATATCTGCCAGTAGAGGATGGTCATGATGATAACAGGCAGGTAGAAGGCTGCAATAGCAGTGCCAAAGGTGACAGCAGCATTGGAAAAAAATTGGATGTAGCACTCCCCATCAGGAACAGTTCTTCCCCCCACAATAAACTGCCAGAAAAGTATTGCAGGTGCCCACAAGATGAAGGACAGCACCCAAGCGGCTGCAATCATCATGCCCGCCATCTTAGTGGTCCTCTTTACAGGATACGACAGAGGCTTGGTGACACAAAAATATCTGTCAAAGCTGATGATGAGAAGGTTCATGACAGAGGCATTGCTGACCACATAATCAAGAGCCAGCCACAGGTCACACACTACAGGCCCCAAGGGCCAATAGCCAATCACTGTGTAAAGTGTGTACAGGTTCATGGAAAAGACACCAATAATCAAGTCAGCACAAGCCAAGCTGAACAGGAAGTAATTGTTGACAGTCTGTAGGTGCCTGTTGACTTTGATGGACACCATGACCAGAATGTTCCCAATGATAGTCACTAGACTGAGAGACCCTGCCACCAGGACTATGAACACCACCTCAACAGTTTTATAGGGACTCCCCAAGGCCAGAACATCTCCAATGGAGGAGTTTATATAAGTTGAGTTATTCATTTCTGTGACTCTAACAAGAAGCCTGACGACCAATTGTCACTTAAACCTGCAGAGGAAAGAAAACAAAAGAAATATCGTTATGAAATGAGTCTTTTGATTCTGGCAAATGTAGCCCAGAAAAAAGCGTAAGGGAAGAACTCCAAGATAGCATGTTGTGGTTTGGCAGAACCACATGGACATGGTTTATCGAAAACATTAGGCTGTTTGTAATTTCCTGTTGCGAACAATATAGACAGGTGGTTAAATTAAAGCTTGAACCAGGATGAAAAATTTACATCCAGAACTAGGCTTTGGACACAGTAATATGCATATTTGTTCAGATCCAAGTTTTTTTCTTGTGACTGATTATAAAAATAAGAACTATTCACAACATTTGGAACTGAATCTTGGTTCCAAGTCCCTCCCCATACCTTCAAAATTTAGACATGTTTTGATCCAGGGTTGTGTTTCAATCCCATATATAAATTAAATATCTCTTGGAAAATAGTCTTGGAGGGGTAAACATGTTAGTTTGTAACTTTAAAAAAAACGAGCAGTCCTGTGGCACCTTAGGCCTGGTGTAAACTAGGACCTTACACCAAAATTAGTTCCCCATGGTTGATTTTCTAAGCAATGCATCCACACTACCAAGCCCGTTATTCCAGAATAAGAAGCCACTGAATTTGAATTCTGTAGTCCTGCTTTTCATGAGGAAGAACACTATTCCCGAACTTGTATGTCCAAAAGAATGTTAGCGTAGGCACTCTGGTGCTGCTAATTCAAACAAATTGGCCTCCGGGAGACCACCTGCAGCTCCCCAGAGTGCTTCCTGAGGCTCTGAGTCCGAGACAGGCTCCATTAATGTGGATGCGCTACCTCGGACTACATTTGATTCTTCCCTGTAATGGGGACAAGGAACTTCGAATTTGTAAAATTGGGTGCCCAGAAGTCAAACTTAGTAAATTTGAAATAATCACCAGTTTAGACATGGCCTAGAAATTAACATATAATAAATGTGTTAGTCTCTAAGGTGTCACAGGATTGCTTTTTAACCTCAGAGAAGTTTGTCAAACAGAATATACAGTTTTTAAAATATTGAAGGAGATTATTTTTTAAATTGGATGGTAAAACGATAACTTAAGTTTCTCTCTACCTGGCAAGGTGAAACCAGGAAGTTTTCTGTGAGGTCAAAGAACTTGCAAATAAGGTTTCATCCTACAAAACAGCTAGCATCACACCTAGTACTTGCTACTTCTGACTCATAAGAGCCAGAGCTCTACCAGATAGCAAAGATCTGGCCTTAATGCAATATAGTTTACCACGTATTAATTAGTAACACAGGGTTTTAAAAAAATCATTAAGATCAGAGTTTTAGATATCTGCAATACTCAGAAAAATTCAGTTAAAAGAATCTTTTTCTTTCTTATCTTAAGCCATTACACCTATGTAAACTTTGTTTGAAATGTAATTATGCAAATACGCTGGCAACACCCCCTTCTTCTCCCCCAATGCAGCTTACTTCAGGTCATTTCTAAAGGAGCTCTTTTGGTACTAAAATAAGTCCTCCCTCCCTTAACAGCCTAAGGTAACATCTACAGATCAAATTTACCAGAGGCTCTAGCTTGCACAGTTCCCAAGGAAACACATAGCAGCACAATCAAGAGCTGTTCTTCCTCAAAAAATAAGACTTGCACAAAAGGGGGTTTTTGCGCAAAAAAGGAGCCGTCTACACAGCAAAAAATCTCTTGCACGAAAGGGATCCAAGGAGGAAATGCAAATGAGAGAGAAGAGAGAATTTGCACCTATCAACAAATGAATGCTCCATTTGCATTTCCTCTTGCAGAAGAGTATCGTAGTATAGATGTAGCCACTGACTCTACTAGTTATCACAGCACATCCATGGATAGTAACTGCATGTTTGCAATGAGTAAGAATGGTAAAGGAAAGAAATCTATGACACTTTTTGACCAGAATGGTAATTGGTTTATAGGTTTATGGTCTGTAAACACCATAATGATATATGAAAATGTTCAGTGCTATAAGAATTCACATGTAAAAATGCCTATGTTAATAAGTAGATTGGAAAGCTTTAAAAGTGAAATCTTCCTTGCAACCCATCTCCCATCTCCACTGAACAACTTCATTATCAGTAAACCATTCCCATCCCTTCCTCCTGACACTAGTTTTCGCACATGGGATAGAGGCAGAACTGGTGGATTTAAGGAAGCTGCAGTGGCTGTGCACCCCTGGTGTGACACAAAACACAGCTGCTTGAGTGGGGAGTGGTTGGTGTGGCTGGTAGAGGCAGAGTAGAGATAGGCTGCTGAAGTAAAGGGGATGAGGTCAGAATTTCTGCTATCATGCAAACTCCCCAGGCCTTCTTGTGTGGCAGCTGTTGCAGTAGCTTCCATAAAACATCTCCATAGCTACAGCACAGCTCTTGGGAGGAAAGATTTTTTCCTATTGTTTTTCATGGAGCTCCCTCGCATCCAGCTGAGATATTCTGAGAGGGTTCGGAAGAGAGAATCTGCACCTATCGACTGATGTTTACTATAAATGGGAACTGCCATTTGCACAGTGAAGCAAAATGGTGAAATTCAGTAGGTTAATTCTGTTACAATGCAGACCCCCAAAAGATAAGCAGCAATCTGAACACATGAAGAACAGACGAGAATCTGAAGTATATCACTTCACCAGCATTGTTATCCAATGAACTATGCAGGTTGGAACTCCATGATCTGGCACCCTCAGGAGCTGACGGGTCCTGGAGGAGGGATTTTGCAGGACCAGGGAAGGTCATTTCTGGCTGCCCTGCCACCGGCCCCCACAGTCCTGTGCCAGCCTCCTGGCTGGCTCACCCCCTGCTGCTGGTCACCCACTGCACTGCCGGCAGACCCTGCTTCCCTGCTGGACAGCCCAGCTACTGACATGTGGTGGACTCCTGGTGCCATGCCAGGCTTCCACTGCTGCACTGGGCAGCCTTGCTGTTGAATATTGGGCTCCCGCTGCCTTGCCAACCCACAAGGCTTCCTACTGGACCATGGATGTACCTGGATCAGAGAGTTCCGGTTTAGAAAGTTTCATCCTGTACTTGTAAATTACATTTCCATAATGTGCTTTCCCTAGACCAGTGATTTTCTACATTTTTAAAGTTGCGGGCCCGTAAAACATTTCAACTGATGGTGTGGACCTCTTTGGACTTCTTAGAGATAGTGTTCAGACCTTTCCACCCAAAGTCTGCGGATCACAGGTTGGAAACTTCTGCCCTAGACTAGTGTTTTTCAACCAGTGGTACAAGTACCCTTAAGGGTACTCAAGAGAACCCTTAAGGTATGTCAACACAACTGAAATTTGAAGAAAACTATTTTTTTTATGTTTTGCAGTGCTTTATTATTTTTGTACCTTTTGCACCAAAAAATTTCATCGCCTGCCCAGCTATGATTAAGTTGTTTAAACAAATGTGTTGCAGTGGTAGAAATTTTTGTGTGTATCTGAAAACTAGGTACTGGGGGTACTTAATTTATTTTTTGGAAAAGGGGTACTTTATAAAAAAAGGTTGAGAAACACTGCCCCAGGTTCTCATAGGGTACGTCTAAACTACATGCCTCTGTCGGCAGAAGCATGTAGATTTGTTTGTTCAGCAAAGGCAAATGAAGCCGCGATTTAAATGATCGCGGCTTCATTTACATTTACATGGCTGCCACGCTGAGCTGACAAACAGCTGATCAGCTGTTTGTCGGCTCGCGCGCTAGTCTGGACATTCCCCCTGTCGACATCAAAGCCCTTTGTCGGCAGCCCCGGTAAACCTCATTCCACGAGGAATAATGGGGCTGCCGACAAAGGGCTTTGATGTCGACAGGGGGAACGTCCAGACTAGCGCGCGAGCCGACAAACAGCTGATCAGCTGTTTGTCGGCTCAGCGCGGCAGCCATGTAAATGTAAATGAAGCCGCGATCATTTAAATCGCGGCTTCATTTGCCTTTGCCTATGTGTCTAATCTACATGCCTCTGCCGACAGAGGCATGTAGTCTAGACACAGCCATAGTGTCACACCAGTAAGGTACAGGCTAATCCTTTAGCATAGGTGCAATTCAAAAGCCCTGATTTAGAAGATATATTCAACATCCCACACAAAGATGATAACAATAATTTTGTGTATGTTCAAAAATCTAGCTGATGTCACAGATCTGCCAAGGTTTATCAGGTAAGTACTTCCTTTTTTTCTTTAAGTCCCCAAGTTTAATATGGTGAGTCTGGAAGGAGTTCACTGGTGCTTAGGACAAAACACACAGTGAAAAAATTTGGGAGACATCATTGCCACATTTGGGAGACATCATTGGAGAATTTAAGAGATGTTACAAATTTCACCTTTGGTAACAAATAACTGAAAATCTTCCATGTATGGGTGATCATAGGGAATCTACCAGAGTCAGGAAGAATCTATATGGAGTGCTATTGCCTCTTTACTCTTACCTTCCCCTCACTTCTGGCTCCCTATACCTTTTCCCTCTCCTCCCTGCACACAGCACATGTTCTTCAAGAATTGTATTTCAGGAGTTCTCTTAACCCACATTTTCCCTGGATCCCCCAGAGGTGGAGTTAAGGACATTCTAAGAATTCTCTGTGTAAATTGTAAGCAGAGCACAGTCCCTTAATATCAACAGAATAAATGCATAGTATGTCTCTGGCAACAGTAGAAAGACATAAATATAAAACTCCCTTAAGAACAGTGAGGAATGATACATGAATAGGTGGCAATGCCTAAGATACTGTCTTAATTCTGTCTTCTGGGCTTTGGGATTTGTATAGCACTTAATTACAACTTGTTCACCTCTGTGCTGATAATCTAAAACTGGTTAATTTACTTACTTTAGCACAATAGTGGGAACTCAAAATTGCACAAGGGAAAACCAAGTCTTGGTAGTATCTCTGGCTGTGGGAAACTCCAGAGAAGAATCTCTGAATATTATTTATTTATTAATTATTAATTATTTTTATCATTATTCCGAAAGGTCCCTATCAGGCTCAAGCTATTTAGTGTCTGTTCTTTAAATGTTTCTCCGGCAC